GACGCTGAAATGACGCTGCTTTAGGGCCAGTGTGATAACGTCCTCTGATTGAAAAATTAACTCCAAAAAACCCCTCAATTAGCTAAAGAAAAGAAAGAAAAATACACAATTTTATTCTCATTTTGAATTATTTTATTGACTAAATGGGTGCGTGTGGGGGGATAATGTTAGAACTTCCAAAGCATTTGAGCCTTTTTGGATGGCTGTGTAAGGAAACATTTTTGACATCTTTTATTTTGTGCAACTTAACTGCAAGTAATTTTGTGCATCGGTGTTGGGGGAGGAACGGATGATGATGTTATAATATGAAATCAATAAAAACATTTTTAAAAAGAAAAATCAAATTTGTGAGAAACAGGAACTGACAGATTCATCCAGCCATGTCATACTTCATCCATCTATGCTAACCTTAAAATCTATGTCCAAATCCTTGCATTTTCAATCATGTAGGTCTGAATTAGAGTTGGCACCTAATTTCATTTTCTGTGATGTTCCTTATTTTTAAAAATATTTAAGGCAAGGAGGTACAAAACAATCCCCTTCAGGCTGAGAATACCTTTTCCTAAGGCCATGTTGGTTTTTTAGTATCTTAATTTCAATGAAATATATCTGAACAATTTTTTTCTCCTAAATCTCAGTTTGCACATCTGAACATCTGTAAGATACCGTATCGATGATATCCATATCCACTGTGTGTGTGCTGGAAGTGCAAACATAATAAAGCAGTTTTTCTACATATGTTATAGAGCTGCTTCTCATGCAAGTATTCAGGTGTTAAAGATATGTGTTCACTAACATGCAAGGAGGTAGGATAGTGTAGTGTCTCCATCTCCAGTTCCATTACTTTCCTATGTGTGCAGAAGTGGAGATTCTCCACTATTTATGGTAAGCCTCCATGCATAGCTGATGCTTTCCTTTTCTATAGGGTGATAGAAGTGATGATAAAAGCACCCAGTAACACACACACACTCCTCATGTCTTGACTAAATGTGCTTTGCTAACTCCTGAATCAAACTAGAATCTATGTAGAATTTGCTTTGGATAATACAAAATCAGAAACCAGGAATGTTCATCTTTGTTTTTTAAAAAAAACCATAGATGTTAACACATTATTGTACAATTTTTCTCCCTGCTGTGCAAAAGAGCTTGAAAATTCTGAGGACTATTTTGAGTTAAAAACAGATACTGCTATTTTTGCATAGAAAATATGAAAAGTCAAGAAACCCCATTTTTGCACAGTTTATTTTTTCCCTTTTGCTATGTTAGATTTGGAGGGGATAAAAAGAGCTATCTAGTTCATCTCCTTGCCATGATGATTGCACAACTAAAGCACTCCTGAAAGATTCCCATTCAACTTGAAAGATATCCCTAAATCAAAACCTGAGACACTGCAAAGAATACTAAAGAAGCTTGAAGCAAAAATTACTGCAGGGTTTGATTATGAAAAGACCCTTGGAATTTTACTAGGTTTGGCCTATCATCCTGTGCAACAGTCAAAGGAACCGATGTACCCACCAGTGCTCTTCTGTTCCTGAACACATCCAGTCCATAGTAATGCAATAAGCTCAGTCTCACCTATACTATGGGTAATTCTTTTATGCACATCAGAGTCTCTTTTTCCTCCTGTATTTTTGTTGG